GGGTTCTAGTCTATTTGCATTTAGCAGCTTCAGGGGTTGGAGGGTGAGCGGCATGGGGCATGACCCAATCTACAGTTTAGAAAGATCACTCTCACCATTGTGTGCAGAATGGATTATAGTGGGGAGAAGAAGGGAAGAAAGACGTAAGATCTTTCCAGAGGCTTGAACTAAGGCAGGGAAGTGGAGATGAGGATAAAGATACATACGGAGGTAGAGTTAATGGACTGCATGTGGAAGGTGACTGTATGAATGGTGGAACTATTTACTGAGACAGGGGACACCTGGAACACTATTTACTGAGCTAGGGGACATCAGGAGTTCAGGTGGGAGATGAGGAACTCAGTCTGAGAGGCATGTCGGACGGCTGAGTCATGTCGGAGGCAGGGGGACCTGTAACTCTGGAGCTCAGGTGAGAAGTCAGGCTAAGGATGTTCACTTGGGATTCATCATATAGGTAGATGACATCTCCTAGGTAGGAGACAGAAACATAAGCATTGGGTCCCTCCAACATTAGAGAACAGAGGCACTTGGGAAGGAGCAGTCAAAAAGATCAGAGGAGAACAAGCAGTCCAGTGTATGGTACGCAGCAAAGAAGACATTTCCAGGGAATTATTTTGGTCAGTTGCTTCAGAGGCTAAAAAATGTAATGAAGTCAGGGAAAATCTACTATACTTGACAAGGCAAAAATAACCTTGATAAAGCCAATTATTTGAGTATAGTGGTGTTTTGAAGAGAGAAATGTAATATGAAAAGATGGACAGAGAATATAACAGTTCTTTCAGAGTTTTGCTAAGAGGAGCATGGAAAAGGGGAGACATGTTGGGGGCTGTTGAGATCAAAGGAGTTTGTTTTTAGGATTGCAGACACTGGAGCCATGTTTGTGTGCCCTGGGAATAATCCAATTGGAGGTCAGTATTACACATACAGCTGCAGAAAGGTTGGTGGAGGGGGTGGCAGGAAGAAGAGAGACCTTGCCTCATCTGATTGCCCCATGTTGCCTTAGTACCTTCAAGTGTTAATAGGCAAGGTCATCAGAGTTTAGTTATGGAGGGGAGGTGCTGACAATTTTAGAAGAGACCATATGAATCAGTCTTTTTGAAGACTGAGAAAGAATCTCAGAAAGTGGAGGGGATCGTTTGGCAGTAACTATGGTCGGTCGCTTTGATATTTGTTTGAGTCCCCACAGTTGTGTCACTTTCTCTAGCCATGTCCTGTTGCTCAAGTGCAGGTATCCAGCTCTGGACAGCAAATCCCAGGCTGGACTTTAACAGGTTTCCCTTCCAGCAGCTCCCTCCCTGCTGCCCGAGACCTGCCATCCCTAGCAGGTGAGGGCAGAAATCTTTGGAGATCATGTCAGGTGGTGGTTAGTACTGCTGTACAAACTACACTTCAGTTTTCTTTTAAAACTAACCAATCTTGTGACAAATTGTCTAATACAGACTTACTGAGATAGCTGACACTCAATAGCTCCTCTTCATCCTTTAGTCCAGTGTCGCCTTAGTAACCACCAGCCACATTAGTAGCCCAATCAGTGCGTTGTTAAATTTAATTAAAATTGGTCTAAGTTAATAGAATACTTGCAAAGACTGAGAATGGGTTTGCCTTGTTCCAGGAACAGCAAGCCTGGCATTGTTAAAGCCACTACATCAAAACACATTACAGCTATCAGGCAAAAACCTGTCATAATTCACGTACCTGTTGAGCTGTGGACAACCTGCAGAACTGCATGAGCAAGCTGCCTAAAAGGGGCCCTCTTTTTATCCTCTTGCTTCTACCCTGGCTTATTTCTCTTCATAGCACATTATTCCTATCTGACTTTCATATTTCTCTCTCAGAAGTGTGAACTTCCACAAGGACAGCCACTTGGTGGTGTACACCATTGTATTTCTTCCCAGCTGGTAACACCTGGTACACAACAGGTGCCCAGCAAGTAGCTGTTGGAGTGTTTCAATCCACTTCCTTTCATCTGCACTTTTAAAGATGGTTCTATTTTCAAAAGCTCCTGGCTAACACGAAGAAACTTCAAAGCTGCCATTACCCAGGACAACACATCCACAATCAGGGGCCTCACTAGACCTCTCCACTTCCTTCACACATGCACCATGCAGTTCTTAGAGGACAGGACAGCCCTGTGCTGCAATGAAGTGGCTCCCAAGGCCACCCAAGGCCATCCACTCACTAGTCTGACTCCAGGTGCCTGGGATATGCCACCTGAACCGGCCACTCTGCCAAACCACTCAGTTCAGCTAGTGCCTGGCAGTGACTGACTTACCCCCTGGGCACTACTCAAACACATGGTTACATCTCTTCTTGCTCATTGGCTGTGCTCCCCCAGGGGACAACAGCTGCTTGCTGCATTCTGGCTGAGAACTAAGCCCTCTAGCTGAGAATCACACACTCCCATCCCACCACTCCTTGCTTTCCCCCTTCCTTCCTATTCTTTTTGTTGATTTATTCCTACCTCTGACCTTTGCTTCAAGTCTTGGAAAGCCTTTAAATTCTCATAAATAAGAGCACCAACAGAGGACAAAGCTTGGAATGTTGGGAGTCAGCAGGTTCCAGGGTCATAGGTTTTTAAATGCAAACACTGGTTCCTGCCGACTCATGACACCAGGCCAAGCAACAGATGGACTTAGGAATCAGGTGTGAGTCATTATCTAGCTACCACTTACCCCACTTCCTCATCAGGAATCCAGATAAACGCCAAAGCAATGGATTCTGCCAAGTTGGTGAGGGTGGGAAAGGCTTTTGGAGTGACCAGGTGTCCTGGTCTGAGAACTGAAAGCCCTGCTTCCTGGGAAACCCTGACTCCTAGGCTGAGACAATTGGTCACCCCACATTAGAGCTGTGCTCAGCCGTGACTACACATGAACAATCTGCTGAGTTCTTATTTTTGCTTCCATGTTTAACATTTAACTACTTCAGGGACCCACCACTCTCTCACCAGCTCACTACTGTTACTCGTAAATTAATTAAAAGCTCAAATTTGTTGGCACAGTACCCAAGACGTTAAAACTTAAGCTATGTACAGCAGTGTCTGCTACCATTTGTTTTTGAAGAGCAAGGAGTGGCACACACATGCACATAGGCACACAATGTATACACGCTGATGTGTGCAAAAATCCTAAATTGCTCCCAGAGGAATTCAATCTACATGATCTTCAGTTATCTGATAGAGCATGCCCACCCTAAAGACAGGCATGCTTGTATGTATGAGTGACTGTGAAGGTATCTACATATTATTACCAGTAACCTCACAGGAGTAAGGTTGAGCAAAGTCTTTTTTGCATACATCTGTATTGCTTGACTTTACTACATGTATTTTTTAAAAATTAAAGGAGAAAAGATCAATTTTTAAAAAGACTGGGCACACATACATCAGAGGTGGGCAAAGTTTGCGGGGTAGTCTTCCCTATCAGAATTTGTGGTTAACTGGGCACCAGGGGATGCTCATGGCTTGTGGCTCCTCTCAAGAGATGACAAGGGTCTTTAAAAAGGTGGGGAGATGGTCAAGTAATGGTTAGCCTAAGATTCCATTAGCCATCCTTGTAAAAGCCTCAACAGCTGTCATTCCTCAGCCAGAGAACACTCTGACGTCAATACACTAGGGAGAGAATTCTCTCACTTAAAACTTAACAGACCTAGGAGTGGGATGGGAAGAGGGTGTGAACAGGTAGAGAAGAGGATTTGGGGGGCACTGAAAATACCTGTATATATACTGTAATGGTAGATACATGCCATTATACATGTGTCCAAACCCAGAGAACGTACATGAAGAGTGGTCCCTAATGTAAACTGTGGACTCTGCTTACGATGTGTCAGTGTAGGTTACCATCCTGGTAGGGGACGATGATAATGGGGGGAGGTTCTGCCCATATAGGGCAGTGGGCACATGGGACATCTCTGTATTTTCTAAGTTTTGTTGTGAACCCAAAATTTCTTTAAAAAGTCTTAAAAAAAAAAGCTGGAGTGGGGTGTCCCACTCCATATACATCTCCTTCAAAGAAAAGGGTTTTCCTTTTCATTTTTAATTTGTCAACCCAAGACCACTGTGAAAGTTCCTTTTTCCTCAGTAAATTGTTAGGCTGTGATGGCAGATGCTGAGTTGAAAATCATTTCGATCAGTCTCAGTTCTTTCAAAATCTGGTTCATATAAATGTCCTTGCAACACAAAGCCAAGTTACTCCATGAGCCCCAGGAATGCAGTGGCCAGGACACTTCGGCCAACAGAGGGCCAGCGTGCAGACCTTTCTCACTGTGCTTCCAAGGACCTACCACATACTTGGCTTCCTGAGGCAGGTCAGGCACGCGCATGCACGAACACACGTGTCACTTTCTCTAACCCAAAAGCTGTGAAGGCTCTTGCCCACCTTTCATCTACAACCTTCGTAGGTTACTCAACAGAACAAATGTACAACTGTAAAAGGGAAAAACCCAAGTTACTACTAAAACTTCAACACCCATTTCTAGGAACTACAGCTGCAAGGAAGGGACTGCTTACTATACAGGACAAGTAAAAGTCACTACAGAAACAGAGTCACACAGGGTATTTTAGTTATTTACCAAAACCCACAGCTACCACAAAACCCAATTTTTCTAAATTTGTAATTGGGAAACTGAGCCATATTCTTAAGTCTAGATGTAAATTATTATCACTTGGGAAACTCAATACTTTTGCATGGGCCTGCCTCCAAACAATTTCAATCTCTATGGGCATCAGGTTGAGAACCACAGAAATAACCATTCTTTTCCTACTAAGCTAAATAAAGCTAAGTCTTTCTAAAAATAATCTAGTACTGACATGCTACACTTCCATTTAAAACACACCTACTGCAACCAAGAAAAGGAAAAAAGGCACCTGTCTGCTTAAGATATTCAACCTCAGAAACAAGCACATCATTTTACCAATTCAGTTTACTCTTACCAAGTGTTCTTACAGCAAACTTCTGCCAAGTCCTCAGTATAGAATACTCAAAGCACTCATTGTTGGTTGACAAGTCTTTTTTTTAACAAGCTTTTAAAACGTTTATTATGAAAATTCTATTTTCATGTTACTGAGAAATCAGCAACAATTACAAATTTTTAAAGGGAATTACTACTTACCAATGCATTTTCTTTACCCATTTCGTAATCAGGTAGGTTACTAACATTTTCTAGTTTAGATGGCCAAAGCCCAGTCATTCTCTCAAATTAGACAGTCAGTTTAAACCCGGTCATCATTTTAAACCCAGGCCATACTGGCTACAAGCCCTTTTCTGCTAGCCACAAGATTTACTTCAGAGAATTTGTAATTGGATGACAGTCCCACAAGTCAATTAAAAGATACACATTCCTTCAGAGTCAATTCTGGTATTACAGGACCTGAAAAACAGCTGCTTGGTATCTAGACTACCTGGATAATGGATTAAAACTGCACATTGATAAAACTACTTGTTCAGTCAGATAGAAAGGGCATAAAGTGACAATGCAAAGGGGATAGAGATCTACTTCTTGTAAAAGCATAAAATAATACAATTCAACGGAGACATGTAGAAAAACTAAGGGCTTTTTCCTTTGGATAATCAATTCTGTAAGCCACCAAAATACTGTCAATTAGATCAGAGAAGATCTAAAATATATATAGTGTGTATGTATATTTAAAAATTAAATATATAGTGTGTATGTACTTTCTTCAAGCATCTTATAAAAAGAAATGTGAAAACTTCCTTGTCAGTTGAAAATTCAACACAGTACAAAGCAAAGAAACTTTTATTACTACATTCACACAAGTAATGAGTAAGTGTCCTGAAGTTTACCCTGGTAGCTTAATATGACCAACTATTAGTTTCCACAGAAGGACTGTTTCAACTTTCTAATCCTATTCAAAGAATAAAAAGAGAGGAAAAAACTCATTAAATGCTTACACTGCCACTTAATTTCAAATGCCATTTTCATCCTTGGGTGAATGTACATTAACACTAAACCATGACCCAGCAATAGTTTTCTATTTGGTTTAACAAGTATCACTTAAAGAGCTTACAGGATAATGCTTAACAGCGTTCTCATCAGAGATAAACTCTAAGTTCACATGACAATGTGTAAATATTTAAGAACTTACTGCCATCATTTTAGAGTTCATGTAACACACATAGCAATATAATGTTTGTAACCAGAAAGTGCACACTGATAAGTAGACACCATCAGTTTGTCAAGCTCTTCCTGAAAACATGCTGTTTTATTAAAACAAAACCAAAAAACTTAAATCTCAAGTTCTGTGGTTTTACAGCCAGGTCTTCCTGAAGTAAGCACATAGATTTCCTTTCTCGCAGACAAGTCAATATGCAGGAGGAAGCCATGAAGGGCACAAGGCAATCTGACAAACTGTACTGTGTCCAAGTCAGTCCTGACACTTCATCTCAGGACCATCAAGGATTACCAGAGATTATGTAGTGGCCTTCATTTTTATTTTTCTTTACTGAGAAGTCTACAAATTCTAAAATTTATCAGTTGATGTTATCTTTAAATCAACAGCACCAGTTTTGCCCATTGAAACTATTAAAATTTGACTTTCTCTTTTTTTAGTTCACAAGTTTATTATGAAAACCACTGCAGTGCTCTTGTGCAGTAACATTGTCTTACAAGAGAGGGAAAAACAGTTCTGTTCAAAGCAACTCACCAGGTTCTGACAGTAACAAAGAACAACATGAGGCTGAGATTTGGAAGGGAAATAAACTGAGCGCAGACAAATCACACAATTAAATTAAACGGTATCCCTGAAAATAAACAAAACGATCTCAAAAGTCACAAGTAGAGGGGAGGCCTTGGTACTTATTTTTAAAAATGTTCATTAAGCTCCAATGATTGATTGCTGCTATCCTCATCTACAGTCATGCTGAGTAAAGCTATAGCTAAATGGAAGTTAAATTGTATTCACGAGGTGTTAATGTTTACATCTTATTATCTGCAGTCTCTCAGAGAAAGCAAAAGTAACTACAAATAGCGCTATGCCAGAAACTGGTTTCTTGACCAACAATGTCGCTTCAGCATGCAATGAACTGGTTCATTCTAAAGTGGTCACAGCTGTTGATGACAAGAGGCTTTGTATTTTTATATGGCACATCTTTTGGTCCGTGTGAAAACAAGTTTTTTGAATGTTAACTATTCTCTGACACTTTGGAGTTACTGTTGCTCTTCCCATTTCCATTAGGTCAATATATGGTTCATGGCAATACTGTACAAGTTTTAAGTTTCATTACAGGAAGTAGTCTGGGGTACGACGAGTGACATGGGGCTCGCCTCTGCGAGGTGCTGGGTCAAACTGCAAGCTGAAAAACAAGACATGTTTGTTGCTTATATACCAAGACACAATTGCACTGACAATCAAAATAAAGAACACTAGCCTTTCAAACTTTACACATTCTTTTCCTATCCAATTTCAGCTTGCCTTAATATAATAATAGAATCCTAATTATAGCCTAATCATGCTTTTAATAAGGGTCATCTCGAGAAGCGACTAGTGGTTACCAAAGGGGCGGGGTTGAGGAGGATGGTGGGGAGGGAGAAGGGGATTAAGGGGCACTGTAATTCACAATCACAATATAGGTAGGTTACGGGGATGATAGTACAGCATGGAGAATACAATTAATGACTCTATAACATCTTACTACACTGATAGACAGTGACTGCAATGAGTGGGTGACAGCTTGATAATACGGGTGAAAGCTGAACCACTGTGTTGTGCACCTGAAACCATCATAAGATTGTATATCAATGATACTGTAATTTTAAAAAAAGGGTCCTTTAACTGCACACCTCCTCAAAGAGCCAAGGCAACTTTAGCCAGAGGATCTTTATATATTAGAGTTCCTTCTATGACTATTTGAAAGACTAGTTCTGTGAAATAAATAAAACTTAGAGTCTAATGTATTGTACTTAACATCTTATCCTCAGGATGTATTTTTATTAACTCCACAATAAAAACAGAGGTTTAAAAGTTAAAACCCTAGTAATTCATATTATTATATGGGTCTATATAATTAGAGGTGTGTATATGACTAGTTTCTATTGTTTTTCCACATACCAATTTGTTCATTTCAAAGGAAACAAAATCAAACTGGAACCTTCTGACTTAGCCTAAGCTCTTGAACTCTTAAATCTCCTGTTCAGTCTATTCAAGTACGCAACCTACTACTAAGGTGTAAATACTTACAAAGAGTACTTTAGAGTGTCATCAAGTTCCATGATTGCAGCTTGGTTACCACAACGATAGCAATAGTTTGGAGCACTAAAAATTGTTACTACATTCCGGTCATGGCACCAGTTATATCCCTACAAGGAAAAGGAAGGAGATAAACATCAATTTTACTCCCTTATTTATACAACCAAATGTGACTCCAACAAGAATCAAAGTTCTCCCCATCCCCAAAAGCTTAAAAAATATTTATGTTTTGTTTCTGATTTAATTAAAGGAGAGATGCCTCTAGGATCTCCAGCCTCATTCTGTCAAAGTCAAAGTCCACTTGAATGCATGAGTCACTTTTTAAGTATTCACAAATTTCTTTCCCTATTTTTAGCAAAATCAGACTTTATTGATAATAACCAGAGGTGTATTCATATTAATCTAAGCAAGACCCTAGTCTTAAAAGTATGCTAGTCAATGTCCTATGATAAAAATTTAGCCCATTTCCCTTTTTTAAAAAGTTTCTTCTTCTACATCACCTGTAATTGTACCATCAAAAGAACTACTTAAAACATTTTGGTATATTTCTTCCCAATTTCTCTTCCACACATACACAAGGCAAATGTTTGAAATAGACAAAATTCAGATCATAAAATGTTACATTCCTCTCTCCCCGCTACTCCATGCATTTACTTGTCCACCCCTTAAATTTCAAGCACTACCCAGTCGTTCAGAGTTCTCTGAAAATGTTAAATATGAATTTCACTGTGATCAAAAGCTCAAGATTTTAATTCTAGTGTGGATCTGCTGAAAAGGCACAGGCTACAATGGCAAACTCACCAAGAAGAATACATAAAATGTTCTCATTAATATCATTAATTTACAACTCCCCAATATCTTCCTTCATTACTTAAAAAGCAATCTGGCTTCAAACACAGAACATACCTCCATCACCAGCTGGTGAGCTCTTGACACCAACGTGAGACCATTGGCATGATTAAACGTCTCAGAAATATCTTGCCCAAAAGTGTAACCAGCTCCTCGAGGAGATATACCCCAACCACCACGGTCATCTGGATCTGACCACAGCAAGTCGCACATTGGACCCTGAAAAACAAGTTAAGTTTTAAACTTGCCTCTTGCAAAAATGGTTAATACATGATTTGAGTAAATTCATCAGAAGTAGCCTACTAAGTTTTACTTTTTAAGTGGTGTTTGATGAAAATGATAAAAAGTTTTGAAGTTAAAAGTCAAATGTCTGTGTCAAGTAAAGACTATTTCCACATGTCTTTAAGAAGCACACACAGCCTACGTCAGTGAGCCCCTACGGCAACAAGCCCTAAATAATTTGCCCAAAGTATACAGATTTCAGTGTTAGGCAGTACAGTCTAGTAGTAATCAAGGCAAAGCCTCTGAAGGCAACTACCTAGGTACTAGGCCCAGTCCTAGCTGTTTTGATTTCCCAGGTTTTTTAACGTCAGCTTCTTCTAAAAAATGGGGTCAACAATAGCATTTACACCACCTGGGTCATTTTTGAGAAAAATGAGGGACTACATATAGTAAACTATACAATTAAATTGTTCCTCTAGGAAGTTTTCTAGAAAGATCTTATCACCGAACAAAAGCCAGTACCTCATGAGGAACTTCTTGAAGACGATCAAGTGCTCTGATGTGATCCAGTGTATCTATGGATGGTGAGAGGCCACCATGTAGACAGAAGATCTGAAAAGAACGTTTTATAATGTTAACCTCAAATAAAAGAAACTTTATAAACACTCTGGACTTAGCTGCAGGCAGCAGCCCACATCACCTGACCCCATCGGTGCTTCTGTTTTGCCAGAACCAGGGTCTCTGCAGGGTCTATCTTTCTTCTAGCCCACTCTAAACTACTGAATACACCCCCTTTCTTCCTGATAAACCACTGCTACTGCACTCAGACTTCAAGCCAACTTCGCTCCACTTTCCTCCAACAAAAGGTTTCTCTGACCTTTCCCTCACCAGACTGATCTTGTTTCTCATAGAATTTTCTTGCAATTTTCTTCTACCTGGCTCATTCCTCTACCTGGACTAGTAAACAGCTAATTACATCTCACAGACTTGTTCAGAAACAGCCTTAGAGGATGGATGGGCTACAACTTCCATCCCTGTGGTTCAAACATGCGGTTTTTGAAAAACTCTTCAAAAAAACCCCAGAGGGATGTAAAAGCGGAAAAATAAGTTATTGGCATCTAAACAAAGCAAAATTTTGAAAATTATCAGTAATATATGTTTTAAGACCTACATACCTGCCCATCCACCAAGGCAGTGAGAGGAAGATAGTCAAAAAGATCTGTAAAATATTTCCAAACATTTGCATTTCCATATTTCCTTAAACACTCATCATAGAAACCATATACTTGTGTGATCTGTCTGCTCTCATGATTTCCTCGAAGAATGGTGATGCGTTCACGGTAACGAACCTGAAACAGAATGGAGAACACTGAACACCCACCCAACTCCTTCAAAACGCAAATGGCAATTCCACAAACTTCTACAGGAACTCTTTTGTGGAGGGTGGGGAGAAAACTCACACTCCCACATCACATCTAACTGAAACCTCACCCCTAAAGACCCCTGTCCATGGGACACCTGCCATCTCAAATAAAACCAAGCTCCCACTACCACCACCTATTACCCCAAGCATAACTGTCAGCTGTAAAACTCCACCCATGAATTTCTTTACAGGTTGATGATTTTTTGGTATATTTATGCTTACTCAACTATCACAATCGTTTTAGAACCTTTCCACTACCCCAGCAAGATCCCTCATGCGTTTGTAGTTGCACTCAGCTCCCACTCCCAGACCCCACTGATTTACTTTGTATTTTGAGGTTTGCCTTTTCTAGAAATTTCATATAAATGGCACCATACAGTATGTTTTGTTTTGGGTATTTTTGGTCAGGATTCTTTCACTTGGCAGATTCTTTCGGAAGTTCATCTGGGTATGGATCGGTGGTTTGTTCATTTTTATTGTTGCACAGTATTGTACTGTGTGGCTATACCACTTTTTGTTTTTTTACTCACAAGTAGGATGAACCTTTGGAAGGTCTGCAGTTTTTAGATATTACTGAATAAGGCTGCTATGACCATTCTGCTTGTAAGTTTTTGTATGGACATATGGAGTATGTCATTTCTCTGGAGTAGGGTTCTACTTGAGTATAATTGTTAGGTCATATGGTAGGAATGTTTATCTTTTTGAGAAACTGCCAAACTGTTTTTCGAAGTGGCCGGACCACTTTACATTCCCACTAGCAATGCAGAGAGGTTCTAATCTCTATAAACTCACACCTGGAACTATGAACCTTATTGGTGATCACTGATGATAGCTACTCTAATGGATATGACTGTGACTGTAATTTGTATATTTCCCTGATGATTAATGATTTGGGGCATCCTTTCATGTGCTTACTGACCATTTTATCTTCTTGGGTGGACTCTATGAAAATACTTTGCCCATTTTAAAATGTCTTTTTATCAAGTTACAGGCTTTTAAAAGATACATAGGAATACAAATATTTTTTTCTTAGTGATGGCTTTAGAAGGAGAGAAAAAAATCTTAGTTTTGATGAAGTCCAATTTATCAGTTTTTTTAATAGATCATGCTTCTAATATCACATCTAAGAAATCACTGCCTAATCCAAGGTAACAAAGATTTTCTCCTGTGTTTTAATAGCTCTTACATTTAGGTCTTTGATCGATTTCTATCCTTTTATATGGTATGAGCTAAGTTCATTTTTTGCATATGAATATCCAATTGTTCCAGAATTGTTTACTGAAATTTCCTTTCCCAACCCTATATTAGTCTTCTAGGGCTGCCATAAAAAAGCACCATAGACTGGGTAGTTTAAACAGAAATTTATTTCCTCACAGTTCTAGAGGCTAGATGTCCAAGATCAAGGAGTCCATAGGTTTGGCTTCTTCTGAAGGTCTCTTTCCTTGGCTAGTAAACGGCCATCTTACCACCTTCCCACTGTATCTGTTTCCCTATTTCTTTTTATAAGGACATCAGTCATATTACACTAGGGCTCACCCCAATTACTTCATTTAACTTAATTACCTCTTTAAAGGCCTCATCTCCAAATACAACCACACTGAGGTGGGGGGAAGGGAGGGAGGCACAGGGAGTTTGGGTGGGACTTCAACATATGAATTTGGCAGTGGTGGAAATTCAGCCCATAACTCCGTCAAACATGAATTCTTAAAGGCAGCAAATTCATTCCCCCTCTGAGCCCTGGGATCCATCCTGGGCTTTAAGTACAGGTTAGCTTGCAAGGCTGCTTTCATAATATTTAGAGTTACCACAGAAACTCCATTATTTAATCCAACTCCTTCATTTTACAGATGGAGAACATAATGACCTCCAGAAGTATTTTGTAGCACTTTACATGATTCAGACTAGTAGCCTCATGAACATATATATTAATTGCCTAAAATTCAGCTCTTGCTAAAACCACAGTGCATGGCTTCTCCAATGTTAGAAGTCTCTGGCAGCCATTTTATCGTTCCTCAAAATTCTTTGATAAAAATCTCCCCAAAGGTAAAACCAAACAATTTCTTTTTAAGGAAAAGGCAGGAACCTGCCACCCTAAAGCCATTTACCATGTGTTTCATCTTCAGATTTCTGTACATTTCCCAAGGTTATATAACTGGTATAAAACCAACTTGCTTTCTATGATTTCTACCACTCTAGATTATGTCATGTTTAATTGTTGCAAACTATTCCACTGAGACAAATCATATTTACATATTCACTTACATTGGATATTTAAATTCTTTCTGATATTAAATAATGCAATGCATGTTTTCACATAAAGCTCCTCCCTCTTGAATTTCCTCCTCAGCAGTTTAATTATAGGATTACTGCATCAAAGGATATCAACAAACATCCCAACATTTGGAACATTCTGTTCTTTTATAATATTTCAAAAGTATCTAGGAAGGTAATTATATTATCTCTCCACACCCCAATTTATTGAACTAAAATATTTGACCGGCCCTCTAACATTTTTTTAAAATAATTTGACTGAAACATTCTCTTCCTTAGAGAATAACCATTTTGCTTTTATTCTATACTGTCCCATTACTCAGAGTGAAGACAGACCTATGATATCTAAGCCCCAAACTTGAATAGATTCATTCCTAAATGTGGAGTTTCCTCCTAAAACCTAACATTCAGATGGAGAAACAAAAATCAAACCAGGAAAAAATCTAGAAGTGTGGAAAAAAGGAACATTCAAGGGGACTGTCTTACCCAGTTCAAGACATAAAACAAATTACCTTAAGAGCTACAAGCAGAGTAACTGTTTCAACTGAATAATATCCTCTGTCAACATAATCTCCCATAAACAAGTAATTTGTATCTGGTGATTTGCCACCAATTCTAAACAGTTCCATGAGATCATGAAATTGCCCATGCACATCTCCACAGACGGTGACTGGACATCGAACCTCTTGCACGTTGGACTCTTTTGTCAGGATTTCTTTGGCCTACAAAGGGAGAAAAAGTAAACCAATATACTTGGCATTAAACAACATTAACAAAGATACATTTACTTATAGTTAATGTAGTTTAAGGAGCAGACTTGGTATAAGATGAAATTGCAGACAATTATGATTCCATGAAAAAAGATGATTGGATTCTTTTCATTGGCTGTGCATGGCCCTGTTCCTCTCATCAGTATCAGGAATTTATAGGCCTATCACTTGCCATCTAACTAAATACTAAAGCATGCAAGATCAACGAAAATGGAGCAAGACATTCAGATACCTAGGTTCCTTACCCTTCTAACTAAAGCTGGCACTCAAGGATCCTAGGCTATCAAGAGGTTTCTTACTCCTGCTTGACTTTTTTTTAATTTTTGGAAGACATTTTGTCTGTATTTTGTTGGTTTATTTTTTTACACTCTTTACATCAAAATACCAACTTTTTTTTTTTTTACAATTGTGACCATTCAACATACATGGTTTACGATGCTTTTAGAAAATGCTGGCCAGCAAATGTATTCCCTCATATAATCATCATCACAGATTCGACACTCATTTATTGATCCTTTATGCCAAAAATTGGAAAAGTACACTGTAAGATAATCATTTGACTGGTCAATTGTCTGAGTCATACTATGTGACAGGACCTGTGTCAACCACTGGAGGTATGGTGAACACCACAGGTCACGGGGGGTCGGGTGGGGTGGGAAGCCACAGAAAACCAAGTAACAAAGTATAGACTTTGTAAGTGCCATGAAGGAAAGGGAGAGAGTAACTGGTGGAGGCCCCTTTAAAACAGGTATTACAGCCCTTAAAAGCATTCAGTGGAGCAGTGAGGCAAAAAATAAAGGGAAAATTAACAAAGAGCCAACTCTCAAAGAGCCAAGCACCACTATCAGCAGCAGCAGAAGGACTGTAAATACCGAGAGCTAGGAAATCAGCTGGAGGTCCAAAGAATGAGCTGGTGTTAGCTAAAGGAGGGGAATGCGAGTAGGAAATGGGAGGAGGTCTGATACATGCAGATGCAATCATGTGTATAAATTCTGAGGAAAGGGTTAACAACTGTAACAGCACACAAGAGTAGAGAAGAGGGTGGGCATGGGTTTAACCTGACCTACAACTCTAGTTTTATTCTTTTTAAAATTTCTTTTTTAAAATATTGAGGTACATACAATAATGGGTCTCAACCTTAGTGTACTTGGTGAGTTTTGACATGTGTATACATTCAATGTAAACCATCAGCCAGATCAAAATATCATTCTAATTTTTCCTCCATCAATTTCACTCATCTCCCAACCCCTCCCCCTATGACAACCACTAGTCTGTTCTCTGTGTTTATGAGTCTATTTCCACTTAGTTTGTTCATTTGTTTTTTATTTATTTTTTTAGGATTCCACATGTAAGTATCATATGCTATTCGTCTTTCTCTAACTTACTTCACTTAGCATAATACCCTCCAGATCCATCTATGTTGTCACAAATGCCAACTACCCTGGTTTTAGCACTGAGAGTCCCGCAGCCCAGGAAACGCCTCCTTCGGGTCCAGGCAGGAAATGTTGGGGGAGAATGGGGCATGGATATGGACTGAAGAACAAGTCAAATCAAAGTAGTATTATAACAGATTTACTGGTAGACTTTTATTTGGTAAGTGGATTTAGGATTTCAGGGATAGGGCTATGGATGTGGTATCTGAGACAGTACATAACTTAACGGCCAGTAGTATCCAGTGACCAATCCACCAAGTCTTGCCCGGTCTCCTTCCAAAACTTAAATCCACTCGCTCCTTTTTTTGCCACATCTCACCTGGCTTACTATTCTAGCCTCCACACTGAGCTTCCTGTTTCCATTCTTCCTGCCTGCAGTCTATTTTCCATGCAACAAAAGTGTTCACCAGATTCATTTTATTCACCACTGTGTACACAGTACCTCACTAGAATAATGCCTGAGATTTGGGAGACAAATATACATTTTACTGAGTCAATCAAGACCTTAAACTGAAGTACTGCATAGGTCATCTTCAGGGAAAGTCATGGATGTCTCCCAGGACAACAGGCCTGGAAAGTGGTACCAAGTTATGTGGAGAATGAAGAAATACTAGGTAACAACAGTAAGGAAAGGTGCCCAGGTATCTAGGTAGAGGACAGAAGCCTGAAAACTAGAGGGAATTTTATCATTGAGTAAAGGGAGGCAGCATGTATCTGTCAGGGAGGGCTGTTGGACAAGGTGCACGACTGCCTTAGGAAAAGCAAAATTTCAGTTAAGTCAAGAAGGTAAAAGAAATTTTTCCTGAGAGTGGATTAAAGGTATTTATTTCATGTATTCAATCAACTTTTATTGAGCACTTCTACATGCAAAAAGCATTACGGAATAGTGTCCAGAATGTATAGGGGATGCCTGGGCCAGGGGAAGGCAACACACTTTAACATGGAGGTGAAATTACCATGGAGAATTGTTGCTAAGGAGCCATTGCCCATTATATTTTAAGTGACAACCAAGGATGACAAGCACTTGTTTTAAGGTAGTGGTACAGACACAACATTGGCTGCACCTTAAAAGTGCTTAAAAAAAAAATCCAGAT